ATATAAAATAAGATTTTGTAGATAATCCTATTTAACATTTTACATCAAAATTTGATGGTGCACCTTACCTCTACAGCTACGGATGCATCCGTGTGCCAACTGCACCTATATATATAGATATATATATAGAATTCATGATAGAAAATTTTCAAAATACCCATGAATCTTGTAAGGGCGTTTGGTCACCTAACTTTATAAGATATTTTTTTTTTCTAGGTGCGCCCAACAAGAAGAGGGGATGCCTTAAGTTCCATTAAAAAATATTTTATAGAAAAATGCTAAAATTAATGTGAAATCATGACATGCCCGATCCCCGTTGTTTGTTCCTATTGGATGGTTGTTTGTTCCTATTGGATGGTTGAGAAGTAGGGTCACATATAATTTAAGGTTGGTATTACGTCCACAGCATGTCGAGGCTTAAAAGGTGCATAGACACCTTTTAATGGTTCAGATTGAACCATGCTCATCCAAGGGCCAATAATGAATCTCGTTTTTTATTTTTTATTCTAATATGAAATTTTGGTTTTAGGTTCATTGTTATGAGTAATATTGAATAAAAATAATAATAAAATATTTTGAAAAACAAATATTCACCAAAATAAATTTAGACGTACTTTAAGATTTTTTATGTAAAAAAATCATTCCAATTCCAAGTAGGTTTAAATTGTTTATACTCACATAGATTTATAAATTAACCACTGAAATATTTGACCTCTTAAAATAATGCTTGAAATTCCTATTATTATTATAATTTAACTTTCAAAAAATTACCTTTCTCTAAAATTTCCATGTTTAAAATAAGCATTTGGACATAAAGACAATATAAAGACCAATATTCAATGTTTTTTTGATAACTTAGTTATTTTCAGTTATTTTTTGATATTTTTTATAAGTGTAGGAAACCGAAAAGAATGGAATACCAAATTCCAATGTAATACATAGCGAAAAAGATAAAATTTAAGTACATTATATGATCTCAAAAAGTGGGACTTGCATGTAAAATGAAACTATTTTTAATTCTTAAAATAAAAAATGATTTCTTTTGTAAAATACCTATAAATGTTTTACTCAATAAAATGAAAACATGTGATTTCAAAACTGAGATATTTTATTAAAATTTATGAAATATTTTATTAAAATGACAAAAAAAATATAGAAAATTAGAGACCCCAATTTGCAACACATCTAAAATATACATTGGGAAATAACAACTACCGTAGACGATACTTAAAATAAAATTTGTACGATGAAATTCATGCAAAACTATGTATCTAATATGTAAAAATTGGATGTCGCAATTCAATCTTTAGACATTAGCTTTTCCAAGTGCGGTACATCTAGGAAATTTTGTTATTGACATTAATATATTGTTAAAGAAGTTACGTCCCCTAAATTAGGGTCCTAAAAGTTTTGCTCGAGGGAGGAAATGGAAATCGTTCTCAAATGTAGTAGAATATATTTGTGATAAATTATAAATTATTATAATTTTTTTATCAATAGATTTGGTCTTTTTAATAAGGGTGCGGTTTGTAAAGAGCCGAGGCTCTAATCAATCAAAGTAAAGCCGACCTACAATACTTGAAGTCTTTGTGATAGCCTTAAAATATATTTTCGTATCTAATTAAAAAATTTTCAGCATAGATCGAGTAGATCTCTAAAAACTCGAAAATATTAAAAATTAATGTGTTACAAAATGCGCTATTTCCAAAACTTGAATTCATGTTTTTTCTTATGTCCATGCATCTTGATGTTCAATTTGAGGATATTTAAGCATCAAAATAACGTGAAAACCAAAGCCCTAAACAAAACCTAGTTATGTCCTGTGATTTCCATTGAAGTGCCCCATACCTTTGGGACTGAGAGAGAAGAAAGAGAGCTTTCTTTCTCCTTTTTTTTATTTTAAAAAAAAATGTAAGATAATTGGTCATACCTGTAATTTCTCGTATCCCAACCAGAAATACATGCAACTTCATTCAAAGAATTTCTCCACTTGTGCATCGTCTCCTCCTCAATCCCAATATTCCTGTGAGCTACAAAAAAGCTCCCTCGAAAGGCCCCCTCTTGCCGGCGAACATGCGCAGGTTGCATGTCATAAAACAGAGGAAGGATTAACCTCTTCGGCAAACTCAATAAATAAGAAAGTTGGTCAAGGCAGAAGAAAGAGGAAGCATAGTTGGGGGAAAAGACGTCTATGAACACGTCGCACTCTTCAATTTGCTCTCTATATGTCACTGGGTTGTTGTTGTGTCGGCGACCAGAAGAAGGTGGAGATGCCGCGATCAGTGAGAGCTTTGTTGAGATGGGATGTGAAGCTCTTTCCCGTATCTTCATCACAAAAGTTGAGAAAAACTTTCATGCTTATGATTTGGGTTTTATTTCTCTCGATCTTTAGTTGGGGAGGCTAAGATTTTAGAGTGTTTTCCAGTTAAGGGCAGGAGCTAAGCTTCTCTCTCTATTACAACAACTTGGCGGTAAGCTTCTCTCTCTAAGCATTCAAAGCGATTTCCTCAGAAGGAGGCCACTGGTCGTGGAATTTGGCGGTCAGCGCCAATGGGGCTTCATGCCGGATAAGATTTAATGTGTAAATGTCATGCCGCTGCTGGATCATGCTGCAGGGTTACTCCCTCACGTGAAAGGGATATTTGAGAGGATTTTTTGTGCCTCATATTTTTGGAATCGCCCTAGAATTAAGACAAGATTTTGGATTCGACCAATGTCGATAATTTCTATTTAATCCTACAATGGTATTTTGTGCTTTGGAATTTATGTTTCTCTTTGGGGGTTCTCGGTTAGGTCAAAGGGTAAATATCCCAAAAATTTAAGGGCTAAAAAGGTACTCTTGGATTAGATTTTACTTGAGAAAGTGAATAGGAGAAATGGCCGAGTTTGATGACGTAATATTTTCATGTAATATAAAATGGAAATTTAAAATTATTCTACTTGAAATAATGAAAAGACTGTTGTGGAAATAAAGATGTTCAAAATTGGTTCCAACTTGAAAAACAAAGAAATTCAAATGAAAGACGAATAATTAAAAAGCATGGTTGAAAAAAAAAGGAAAAAAGCTTAATATGTGATTGCAATATTTAAATTTCAATTTTATTCCAAAATATGTATACACACAAGAAGAATAAGGGTAGACTCACAAGAATACCGTGGTTCAGCAGAGCACAGAAACCATAACTTTTTAATAAATAAACGAAGACCTCATCTTGGAGTCTTTGGCACGACGCAGAGCCAATGGAAAGTGATCCTGTCGAACATGATCGCCGTCGTCACATCAAGTTTTCAACGGTGACGATATAGTAAGAAAATTGGCCGAGTTAGGCGTCCAAGTTGGGGATATTAAAAAAAAAAAATTTAAAATAATAAAAAATAAAATTAAAATTTATTTGAGATATTTTTTTGTTTTTTATAATTTTACAAATATTGGAAAATGTTTTTTATTGTATTAAAATTTATATGTTTTATGTTGATTCTTGAGACATTCAAGATGTGAAAGAGATTTCCTAACAAATAAAAATTCCAGCTTGAATTTGATAGAGAGAGGAGCAAGTTACATTTATGAGGAAGTTAGGAACCATTCGAATTAATTTAAATGAGGAAATGTTTATTGTGTCCTAGTTTTGGATGGGTTTGGTAAAGAGTCGGTGTTTTAGACTCATCCAACTTTAAACAAAACATATAAAGTTAAAAATATTCAAAATAAAATTTAGGAACCTTAGAATCATTCTTGAAACAGTGGTTTTATAATAAGAAAAATTTTCTAATAAAATTTTGAGGTCTCTTTGATCCAGTTCTGAGTCAGGGATAAAACTGGACCAGGTACTTGTGGGTCATTGTTCGACTCAGCCGGGTTTCAAGTCAAATTACTGATATTTGAGATACTATTGAATCACCAAATATAAAACCGTCAATTTGATTCTTAAGATTTCAAAAATAAGTGCAGCTCCGATTTAATTAGATCTAAAATCCAAGTCTAACTTGATTTTTGTGGAGGAAGAACAAAATGCACGGCGGGTGCACCAGAATCTTATAATTTAAATAAATGATAATACCCTCTCTCCATCTCTTCACGTTTTGGCGAGGTCAAGGTTTGGGGAAGCGATTCTCTTCCTACGCATTTATTAAAATGGTAGGAAAGAGCATACTGTTCCCATAAGCTTTCAACGGTGCCAATAATGGCTGGTCCCCATTGAGGTTTTTATTTTTTTTCTTTTCTTTTTCTTTTAGCCCTTTTCTACTTATGTAATAACAGTTTATTGTGAATACATAGTGTAATCAGAGTGCAAAATAATGTCATTTTACTACTGTTTACAAAATTTTCGGAAGTGACTGAAAAATCTCGCCTATTTGTGCAAAATTGCCAAAAGAAAGCAAAGTACAGCTCAAATGGTAGCAAAATGAAGTAGATTACCAGCCCCTTCTCCATGAAACTACATTATTAACCCGTGATAGCAAGAGCCGTGTGGGTGGTAGTGTGAATTGGTCGGGTTAGGTCCGCGTCGATCCCGAACAAAACCAAGACCCAACTTCGGACCTGCATTAAGTCTAAGTCATTGGACTTGAATCCGACCGAGCGCTGTTTTGGGCTAGATGGACACAGTTTTTATGAGTCCATGTCGAAATGACTCACCTCTTAAAAATCTTTTTTTGAGATGGATTTTTTGACTTAATTTTTAAGAATATATAATCTCTAACACTGATATCATGAATATGAAAAAATTAAATAAATTTTGAAAATTAAAAATAATATTTCTATTACGAAAACAATTGGACCGTTAATTTCAGATATTTTTAGATGGACCACCTATTTGCATCACCTTGGGACCTCATACCGTAGAAATGCAGTCCAGCCCTCATGAAACAA